CACGCGACTCTGCTCAAAGGCTCCGCGACTGACGGACTTCGCACAAGCTCCGTGTCAACTGATGCGGTAGCTAGGCCTTCCGTGGTAGCGTGGACGACTTGGCCATGGGCCGCGGAGAGTGTAGCGAGCGTCGCGGGGGTTTTGCTGTATCACGGAGCGTTTCTTGGAATTCGCGACTAGCATCCTTCGCACTTTTTTCGCACCAAACTTGTGCCACGTGCGGAATTAGCGTTCAGGATTTGACATCATGAAACTTCTCTGCTGACAATGAGGCAAAATGGCGCGCATGGACCCGCACCTCAATACCCGGAGCAGACGAAGCCAGGAGCTTCCACTAATAGGGAGGCAAGCTCAAGTCGCGTGTGCGAAGTAGCGAATAGGAAGGCGCTCTGATACTTCTTTTTGCCGCTTATTTTACAAGCTGCCAATGGTTGAATTTGACTCATTCTGGCGGGAATTTGAAGGCGAAAGATGGCTCTTTCAAATGAGACCAAGCGGGCCGTGCTGGCACACATGAAAGGGCAGGGGCGCGTCACTGAAAGTGTGCGATTTCAACGTTGATTTCGGCTCAGATTTAGCTAGAAAGCGCCGTATAAAGGGTCTTAGCGGCTAAAATAATGATATTATAGGAATGAAAGTCACAGTATAAGTGCACTAGTAGTTGTAGATTTCAAAAACCCAATAAAAAAAAAACTTTTTCCGCGATTTTTCGGTCTCCACAACCCGTGTCCTCCCTTAACTGCACTGTATTTACTTGTGCAATGAACGCACTCACATAATAAATGCACCCCCAACTTCAGTCATCAAAATTTGGATTTTTTTTCGTCCGCCTAATAAACACACCCCCTACATTCATTCGCTGTAGTCTCGCTAACCGACACCTGGCGCTTTCTTGCCTGTTGAATCTCTTCCGTTCTTTAATATTACGCCTACCCCCCCTCAGCTCACTCCCTCCCCGCCTTCGCCGGCTGCCGCCCACCGTGTTGTTTTTCTTGCTATCTTGTGCTACTGCGGTTTTCACAAATTGTGCGAGTGTAGAGACATCGCAGCTAACAGGCACATAGCGAGCGAAGGTCAGGAAACGCCAGCAGACGGTCACTTCCTGCAAATACAAAACTTTAAGGCCCAACAATAGGCCCATGTTTTTTGAGCAGTGACAACAGGATTTGCTGTCGCAATGGGCGATTCGTCGCCATCGCGGCGCAGGTTTCTGGGAAACCGGAAGAAATTGCTTATTGCCCTGAAAAGATAGTGACGATTTCCTCAACATGGCAGCACCCAGCTCTTGTTTTGGTTGCAATTTTCTGTTCATGCTTGTTATCAACACATACTTCAAGGAACGTACTCAAGATATAGGCTACCACAGTAACTTCTCATGTGGACGGCGATGCGGCGGCTGTCTTTTTTGTCATCAATCTTGCTATTGTCAGTGTTTCGATACTTTGGTGATAGCTTGCTGCAATGTCAACGGCTTCGTCGAGGTCATCGTGTGCACGAAGTTGGCAAAGTGCATTGTAGCCCACGCTTCTGGGCATTCCTCGAGATCACAGCAGATACTACTGTTGCGGTTTTAAACCATTGCGAGAAAAGAAACTTGTGAAACGCTTTTATTAAGTGCACGGGCGGTACAGGAAGAGCTTTCAGAAGATAGCACCATCAATCACGATAAGTGAAGCGCAACAAAGCAGCTGTTTACAAACAGTGTATGCGTATGTCAATAGGAAAAGGCTAAGTAAGTGCCGCAACTTTTTTTGCATTTCTGCATTTTTTGCTCATTCTGTACAAGTTTTAGCCTGCATAAGATTTAGCCTGCATAATAAACATATCCCAACTCTGCTTCAATTGTTCAAGAAAAAAAGTGCATTAATTATGCAAGTAAATACGATAATTGACTGAATTATGAGGCCAGCAAGATGCTCTTACACCTAACCCTTACAGCGAACTTCGATGATAGATAGCCTAAATTCAGTAACCTCAGACGTTAAATATCATTTGGTGTAGCGTATTCACTCGCGTAATGAACCACCTTTTTTTTTTTTCAGAAAGTTGACACCAGTTTAGGGGGAGGGTTCATTATGCCGGAGAAAAAAAAGTTACAGAAATTATAACTGAGGAAATTTCGCATGACAGTACTTCTTCTGGCCCAAGAAATGCGCGACGAATATTTTTTGTAGCTCGAAGTACTTTTTGTTTTCTCTCGTAGTGAAAGTGCACGGATCAACGACAAAGTGTCGTTCAGCCGCTCGGTTCCCATGCAACAGGCAAGAAAGCGGTACAACAGGCAAGAAAGTGCCAGGTGTTGCATGCTGTTTGTAACCAGCCGTGTGGCTAGCGTACCAGCCGAAGGCGCCCTGTGCAGCAGGTTTCCCAACAAAGCTCTCAACCACAAATCCGACAACAAAAATGTAGTGTCGGATGGCGGTGCACAACCATTGCGGGTGCACGATGCGACGTCGGTGTGTTGGGCGCAGTACTGCTTTGCATGGCCTTCGAGATGGTGGGCGCGTGGTGTGTTTTCACGCTATGCGTTCGCCATTTTAGAGGTGATGCACTTCGTTTTTTGCTTCGTTTTTGTGGCCCCGCCACGGTGGCTAAGGTACTCGGCTGCTGACCCGCAGGTCGCGGGATCAAATCCCGGCTGTGGCGGCTGCATTTCCGATGGAGGTGGAAATGTTGTAGGCCCGTGTACTCAGATTTGGGTGCACGTTAAAGAACTCCAGGAGGTCGAAATTTCCGGAGCCCTCCACTACGGCGTCTCTCATAATGAAATAGTGGAAACTACCGCATTACGTGGGTAAATGCGGTAGTTTCGGGCAGGGAACAGTGCGCCATGAATATTGTCACCCACTATCGGAAAAACGACGAACTGCGTGCAGCACAGTGGAAACTACAGACGCCTCCCGTCTTCTCTGTAACATCCCGCCGATGGTGGTGTCACAAGCTGTGCTGTCATTCCTTCTCTCTCGATCCTTCTCCGTCATTCTAGGCGATGCCGGCGGCTGTTTCCAGGTGGTAAGGAAATTGACGCACCACTACTCGGTGTCTGAGACGTCGTGCTGTCGTTAATGTTTGTCTTTTTCGTTGCGCGTGCTTTGAAAAGGAACTTGCTGGCGGTGTGGCTGTTTCTGTCGTTCAAAGGCGATGCTTTCGCCTATTAGAGCGCTTGCTTTGTGAAAATGACAAAGCTACAAAGTGTCGTTGTGTCATCAATCTAAACTGACTGTTTTTAAACACTGCAGCGGTGCCGCAGGCAATTTTCGTTCAAGAAGTATGACGGCATTCAGGTGTAAGGCTGGACGAATCCTCCCAACCACTTCTGAGTGTGCAGCTTGTATAAGACCCGTTGAAAAGGTGAATGCAGCACACTGTGTGTGTGGTGCAGAAAACAGTCTTTACTTAGTAGCATAGGTAAAAGAGTTGTGACAAGCCACATCGATAGTAAAAAAGCATAGACTCGTTGTGAGTGGAGCTGGTACAGCCTTCGTAGCATCATTTATGAGCAGTCGACAAGTGGACTGTCGGTCGCCAGTGTGACGAAGAGGGGACCAATGATGTCAGGATTTGCGCATCCTTCACCTGCTACAACTTCGCCTACAGACTTCCAGCTCGCAAGTACAGCAAAATATTTGTTTCAACGTGACAAAAAAGTCATTAACGCAGAAGTCATTTGGTGCCTCAATGCTGTCATGACGCATTAATCATTACGTGCTACTGCGACGTCGGCTTCTCTGTTTCTGCTGATGTTTCCGTTGTCAGCTACAGCCCAAAAAATGCAACTTGGCAAAGACTACCTTGGCAAAAATGCAACTTGGCAAACTCACTACGTGCAGTCATGCTTTCTCAGGCGCACTCGAGCTGAAGAATTGGTGTTCACATTTAAAAGGGCTACAGAAGGACTCTCATGATCGAAAATATTGGATGTCAATGGACGAGCCAAACGTCAACATGAAAGTTTCTACGCAAGATCAAGCGAGAGCTTTGTGAAGCGAATGACGACCTTCGAATCCACGACTTTGGTAGCTAAGGACTTCACGATGTAAAGGGCGCATTCAAAACGAGACGCGCGGTAACAGGGTGGAATTTCTGCGGGCTATGTAGAATTTATTCAAATGTGTACCCGCCCGATGCGCTGATTATGCTCGAATCACTGGGAGCAACATGTACCCTTCGAAGTTTTGCGCCTTCCAGTGGATTGAAAATGTTCGTGTGCTTTCAAGCACACGGACATTTGGAAGGAAGACTGGGAAGGTGCTGTTAGCACTATTCTAGGGACACTGCACAGTTTGCTAGGTTACTCATGTGTTTGTGCGCCATGTCATTCTGAGTACCAGTATAATAATTAACATCTAAATAAGGTTCTGCCAATCATACAGAGCAGTGTATAACATTTCTGCTTCTCTAAAAAAGCTAACTCAAGTGTGTGCCAGCTTTTTTTTTTTTTTTTTCGCTTCGCCACTCCTACCCCTCAGTTTTAAGCGTCTCCCGAATTTCAAGGTTGCGAGCTAGGCAGATCCATATTTAAGTTCGCACAGTCTGTCAAATGATTTGACAGGCGCACAAATGCTAATATGGACTATGTCACTGCTTGCTCAGTGGGGTGGTTCAAAATACTACTTTCATTGAAAGAGCAGTGTCATGTTCAACTGCATAATTTAGATGATTTTGAATAGCTTATACATTTTTTTTTTTTTCAAAATATAAGCGTTTTTATTTATACTGCACCAAATTTGGTATTTTATGATGAAAAAATCTCTAATTTTTTTCCCGTAACCTACTCCAAATTTGGATTTTAGTGCTTCAAAAGTAAGATTTTGCCGCTTCAAGAATCGCTCCAAATTGTATTTTGGCTGTTGCACCCGTGCAAGTAGTATAACCTTTCAATCTGGAAATTGTTGTGCATCTCTGGCATGTCAGGCAGATGTGTGGTGTGCAGCTTGCATAATCTGAAACCTTGTTCAAGAGTGCTTTGTTTTCCAAAGTGGTGGCATAACACTGTGCAGGGTGACCGGTTTGGAGGTGCCCTGGACGCAGCTGCACGCCAGTTCAGCGAGGCATACAACAGCCGCCAGATTCCCATGGAGTTTGTGAACAGCATGCGCAAAAAGGGCATCCTCATCATGGGCATCGGGCACCGAGTCAAATCGGTCTGTCTCCTTTTTCTTCCATTTCAAGTTTCTTTTTTATACACGAAACGCTCCTTCACGTATTGTAAAATGCTGAGCAAGCATTTTCTTCCTCCTCAGTGGCCACATTCTGTTCTACACTAGCCTTGCTTGTGCAAAAAGGAACCACATGCATATCTAATGCGTATCTAATGTTGTTTATGAAATGTTTTACAAATAAAGCATTCAGTGATTCCACTACTGGGCCAAAGTGCACCAAATCATATTTACTGCGCCATCTTGATAATATTGTCACGTGCTTGCCCAAGAAAGACGATGACAGTTGTGCATGTGCCACGAAGGACTACGAAATGGACGAAGAAGAAGAACTCGCTTGCACGTTCTAATTAAAAAAATTCCGTCATATCCACGAAGTGAATGATGATGAGTGGGCGAAGCTCCGGAGGTAAACCTGGCATGAATCCTCTGTACATTTTGCCCACTCGATTTTATTACATCGCTCCCCCTAGCGTACGTCGCCGCACTAAATCGAACGATTGCCTTCAACCAATGACACGCGCCATATGTGACATCATTCCTATTTTATAAGATTTCGCGTCTTTCATCAACTACAAGTACCGCTTTCTAGTTTATAACATCTTGCATCTTTTCATCATCAGCTACAAGTACCACCATCTAGTAAACACTACAAGAACTAAACGAGAGGTGGCTACATACAGGAGACGGTACTGCCATCTAGTGAACACTGCAAGAACTAAACTAGAGGTGGCTACATACAGGGGACGGTACCGCCATCTAGTGAACACTGCAAGAACTAAACTAGAGGTGGCTACATACAGGCTACAGGGGACGCACAGCCCACGCCCTAAGGAGCTTCGCCCTAAAAGATCGATCTGCTTCTGGTGTCTCAGTCTCTACGGCAAGACCTCTGTTTTGACGTCGTGACACTGGTGGAGGTGCTGGAGCCTACAACCGAATGCAGGACAGTCTTGCTCGGACCCATTCACCTAGTCCAGAGACCCAGCCCCTCGTCACGACTCCGGTGCACTGATTCAGTCGGCGCCTACTAGGCCTAAGTCCGGAGTCCATACCTGTTCCGCCTGTAACCAGCATGGCAGCTCCTACCACATCCACGGCTACCCTTCCATCGCAGACCACTCTTCCCTCCCAGGTGACTCTTGAACATCCTCGCGTTCCTGAAGTTTTCCATGGGGAAGAGTACGAGGATGTCGAGGACTGGCTCGAACAGTTCGAACGGGTCGCTGTATCTAACCACTGGAACGAACAGCACAAACTTGGCCGTGCATATTTCGCCCTGGAAGATAGCGCTCGCATGTGGTACGAGAACCACGAGGCTACTTTCCAATCTTGGGAAGATTTTCGTCGAAAGCTCCTCGCCACATTTTTGAACACGGACCGACGGGATTGCGCACAGCAACTGATTGAGGCTCGCGCACAAAAACCCAACGAAACAGCCGCCATGTACGCAGAGGGTATGATCCGTCTGTTTCGACGAGCTGACCCTGACATGCCCGAGGCGAAGAAGGTGCGTCACCTAATGCAGGGTGTCAAAGAACCAGTGTTTGCAAGCCTCGTACGAAATCCACCTACAACAGTAGATGAATTCATAAGAGAGGCGACTGTCATCGAGCGCGCACTGCGACAACGATACCGACACTTTGACCGCCTGCCGAACCACACGGCAGTAAATGCTGCAGCTCAGAACACTGCCGTGTGTGAAAGTTCCCTGTGACAAATGATTAGGGAAATACTGCGTGAGGAACTTCGGGCCCTCTGCGTCCCTCCTACCCAACCGCCCGTCGCATCTGTTGCCGAAATCGTCCGCCAGGAGTTGAGGCAAGCCGTTACACCACCGGCGCCAAGTCCTGAGCCACATCCAGCGAGCTACGCTGATGTGGTCCGTTGTCCTCCACCGTCATTTGTGGCGACACCCTTCCAGCCACGACCCGCGGCCGTACCTTGGTGGCAACGGGATTTCATGAGACGACCGTCGACCTATTTGCTTCCGCTGCGGAGAACCAGGTCACATTGCTCGCTATTGCCGTCATAGCGATTCCGGCTTCGGGAACTTTTCTCGTCCCGCTTCTTCCCGCTCTGAAGACCGTCGTGCTGACGATGCCGATCAACTGTCGACTGGCCAAGCAACTACACCGCTTCGCTGGCGATCTTCATCTCCTGCGCGTCACCGCGACTTCCCTCAGAGCTACGCGGACGTCACCAGAGGCCGTTTGCCTAGCCCACGCCGGGGAAACTAACTGCTGCGACCCCCGGGGGCAAGGTTGCCAATCGTCGAGACACCGAAAAGTTCCCCCTATCATCGCAAGAAGATATGACGACAACCACGACGAATACGATGACGAATACGACGACGAATACTAATGCCGGTGAAGTTGTACGTGCTGATCTTGGCGTTTTCATTGACGGACATTACGTTACAGCATTGGCCGACACTGGCGCTGACTTCTCAATCATGCGACAAGAACTCGCCGACTGCCTTAGAAAGATCAAGACACCGTGGACAGGGCCACACATAAGGAGTGCTGGTGGTCAGCTGATGATTCCCACGGGTAAATGCACCGCTCGACTTTGCATTGGGGATTCTAGCTTCGTGGCCACTTTCGTTCTGTTGCCAGACTGCTGTAAAGAGCTAATTTTGGGCATGGATTTTCTACAAGATCATGGCGCTGTTATCAACATCCCTCAACGTATGGTGACGTTTTGCGCACATCCGTATGTCGACGACAGCAGCGACGAACTACGCGGCAGTTTGCGAATAGCCGACCATGTGACGCTCCCACCGACATCCTGCTACCTTGTGTCTGTGTCCAGTGGGTGGCCTTCCTATAAGAATGTGATAGTGGAGCACATAGTCGCTCTTTTGCTCACGCAAGGCATTTCCATCGCGAGAGGCATCCTAACGCTTACTGGTGGACAGGCAGAAGTGCTCCTTACAAACATCAGCAAGGAGCGCCGTCAAATCCAGAAGGGTACTGGAATTGCCTACTTCGACGATATAGATCAAGCCGGGGATTGCTGTGCTTTGCAACCAGATGACGCGACAGTCCCTGCCTCGACAACCTTGTCGGTGGACATCTACTCCACGCTACCGCCCTCTGATAGGAAGCGTCTGCTTGGACTTATACACCAATTCGAAGACTGCTTTTCGTGTACGTCAAAGGTCCAGCGGACACCATTGACCAAGCACCGCATCATTACTGAAGACAACACGCGACCAATTCGGCAGAACCCCTACCGTGTGGCTCCGAAAGAACGCGAGGAGATTCAGAAGCAAGTACAGAAGATGCTCGTGGATGACATCATACAACCTTCGAAAAGTCCTTGGGCGTCCCCCGTGGTTTTGGTCAAGAAAAAAGACGGCAGCTTGCGTTTATGTATTGATTATCGCAAGTTGAACCAAGTCACGAAGAAAGACTTCTATCCACTGCCTCGCATAGACGATTCACTCGATCGGCTGCATCGTGCGCGCTATTTCTCTTCAATGGACCTCCAAAGCGGCTACTGGCAAATAGAAGTCGACGAGAGAGATCGTGAAAAAACGGCCTTTGTGACGCCTGATGGCCTTTACGAATTTAAGGTGCCTCCTTTTAGGTTGTGCTCGGCACCAGCCACTTTTCAGCGTCTCATCGACACCGTACTATCGGGCCTGAAGTGGCAAACATGCTTGATCTATCTGGACGATGTTGTTGTATTCTCAGCATTATTCGAGGAACATCTCGGCCGTCTATCCACCGTACTCCAAGCCGTACGCTCGGCCGGCCTGACTTTAAAACCAGAAAAATGTCATTTTGGTTTCAACGAACTCAGCTTCCTAGGCCACGTTGTTAGTCACGAGGGTGTTCGACCTGACCCGGCCAAAATAGACGCCGTAGCGCAATTTCCTGCACCCCGTGACAAAAAGGCTGTGAGACGCTTCTTAGGGTTGTGCGCCTATTACCGGCGATTTATCGAGGACTTTTCGTCTATTGTGGTGCCATTGACACGACTCACACGTGAGGACGTCCCCTTCTTTGGGGTGAACAGGAGCAAATGGCATTCAATGAACTGCGACAACGCTTGCAAACACCTCCAGTCCTTGCGCACTTCGACCAGGACGCCCCTACAGTACTTCACTCTGACGCCAGCAATGTAGGTATAGGTGCCGTTCTGGTGCAGTGGCAAGACGGCTGTGAAAGAGTAATAGCCTACGCCAGCGGAACTCTCTCTCGCACGGAGAACTACTCGACCACCGAGAAGGAGTGTCTCGCCGTGGTGTGGGCAGTCATCAAATTTCGTCCGTATTTGTACGGCCGCTCCTTCAAGGTTGTTTGCGACCATCACTCTTTGTGCTGGCTCACCAACCTTAAAGATCCATCTGGTCGTTCGGCGCGCTGGAGCCTAAGACTTCAAGAGTTTGACATGACCATCGTCTACAAATCTGGGAAGAGGCACACCGACGCCGACTGTCTCTCACGGTCGCCAGTGGAAACTGTCGCTCCTGATGACGAAAACATCGACGCGGCATTCTTGGGAGTTGTCAACACGGCCACTATTGCAAATGTCACGTGCTTGCCCAAGAGGCAAATGTCACGTGCTTGCCCAAGAAAGACGATGACAGTTGTGCATGTGCCACGAAGGACTACGAAATGGACGAAGAAGAAGAACTCGCTTGCGCGTTCTAATTAAAAAGATCGACCTGCTTCTGGTGTCTCAGTCTCTATGGCAAGACCTCTGTTTTGACGTCGTGACAATATTATCAACATAAATTGCGCCAAACTGGGCAAAGTTGTCAAATTTGGGGCCATCTATCACCAGCAATAGCCACATTGGTGTGTCAAGAGATGTGCAGCTTGTTGACAGGGCTGCCAAAGTCCCAACAACACATACCTAGAATTATTCTGCTAAATCATCTGTTCATGTCCTATGTAATTCACGATGCTATGCTTGGTGCTAATGCAGCTTTTGTTGCGCAAGTCGGCTCAACAGCAACACCCGCTTTTTGC